ACCACCCCCTGCACACCCCCTCTGGCGTCGAGAAATCTGCAGTGCCCTGCGCCATGGCCCGCATGGCCACGCTCAGGGACCACCCCCTGCACACCCCCTTCTGGTGTCGAGAAACTGCCACGATTGCCGTGCTCTGTGCCATGGCCCGGGTAGGCGCCGCGCTCAGGGACCACTCCCTGCGCACCGCCTCGGGTATCGACAACATGCCACGCCTGTTGTGCCAAGCGGCAAGGCCCGCATAGACGCCGCGCTCAGGGACCACCCCCTGCGCACCCTTTCTGGTGTCGAGAAAAAGACACGCCAGCTGTGACCTGCGGCATGGCCCGCATAGACGCCGCGCTCAGGGACCACCCCCTGCGCGCCCCCTCTGGTGTCGACAAAGTGCCACGCCTGCCGTGCCCTGCGACATGGCCCTCGTAGACGCCGCGCCCGGGGACCACCCGCTGCGCGCCCCCTCTGGTGTCGAGAAAGAACAACGCCTGTCGTGCCCTGCGCCATGGTCCGCGTAGGCGCCGCGCTCAGGAACAACCCCCTGCGTGCCCCCTCTGGTGTCGAAAATTGCCACGCCTGCCGTGCCCTGCAGCATGGCCCGCATGGACGCCGCGCTCAGGGACCACCCCCTGCGCACCCTTTCTGGTGTCGAGAAAGAGACACGCCAGCTGTGATCTGCGCCATGGCCCGCATAGACGCTGCGCTCATGGACCACCCCCTGCGCACCCTCTCTGGTTTCGAGAAAGAGCCACGCCTAATGTGTCTGGACGACCGTGTGTATACGTATTGGGTGTATGCAGCACGCCTGCCACGCCTGTCACGCCCTGCGAATATTGCGCGTACGCGTTGTGTGGTGTGCGTGTCATGTGTATGATGCGTGTGCGGTTGTATGTGGGCGTGTCTCTCGTGTGGATGCCCAGCATGTGGTGCACACGTCTTGGGTGTGTGATGCATGCAGTGGACACGCCAGGTGTGCACTATCACTGTATGGTGTGCGTGTCTGCGAGCGTGTGCACGCGTGCGGCGGTATGTAGACGCGTGTCTCATGTACGTGCCGTGCATGTGATGCGCGTGGGTGAGGGGAGGAAGGGAGAGGAGGAGGGGAGGAGGGAGGTCAGGTGAGCTTCGCGGGCAGGACGCGGGAAGGAAGAAAACCCAACCCTACGAAACATGTGGGGGAACAACACGCGCGCCAGGGGCGGCGCCTGAGGCGCCGCCAGGGGGTCCCGGCGCGGATCCAAGAAATCCGCGCGGAGCGCCAAAAGTTTATGTGTATGGCGTTTTTTTTGCTTCGAGCTTCAGCCAGGGGTGCTTTTAAGAAGCCCTTGCCCCATCCTCCCCTACCCCCCCCGCGCGCGTGGCCGAATCCAGGACGCCATCCAGGACGCCTGCCCCTCGGCGGCTGCAAAGATTGTACCTCTACGTGGCACCGCAAGGGTATAAGCTTTCCAGCCGCCCAGGGGCAGGCGCCCCCGACGGTGGACCAGTTTCTCTTATTCCGTTCTTCGCCCGCTGATCGGAGGAGCGGCTGCGCTAGTTTAAGTCGGGCCAGTCCCTCTACAGGAGGAATCGTCTATAATAGTAGTAATACAGGGAGGTTTAAAAAAAACAAGGAATTCAAACCATAAAGAATTTAAAAGTCAAGGTTGTCCCGTAGAGATTGCAGCCCCGAAGCAAGGCAGACAACAAAACTAGGAATTCAAAAAACAAGAAGCAGACCCGCGACGCGGCATGAAACAAAACAAGGAACACCCTGGAACAGCAGGAGGAGAATCTGGGAAACATCTAAAGGAAGACTTGACGAAGTTGCAAAGCGATAAATATGGAGGAATGTTTCGGGAATGGTTGCGGAAATACCTGAGGGAAGAAGATCTGGCGGAAGATCTGGCGAAAGATCAGACGGACAATCTGGCGGACAATCCAGCGGAAAATCAGAAGGATAAATCTGGCGGAAAATCTGTCGGAAGATCTGGCGGAAGATTTCGCGGAGGATCTGGAAGGAAATCTGGCGGAAGATCTGGCGGAAGATCTCGCGGAAGATCTAGTGGAAAATCTGCCGGAAGATCTGGTGGAGGATCTTGCGGAAGATCTTGCGGAAGATCTTGCGGAAGATCTGGCGGAAGATCAGGCGGAAGATCTGGAGGATGAAACTGGCGGAAGATCTGGCGGAAAATCTGGCGGCAAATGTGGAATATAACTCTGGAGGAAAATCCGGCGGAAGATCTGCCGGAAGATTTCGCGAAATATCTAGCGGAAGATCTGGCGGAAGATCTCGCGTAAGATCTGGAGAAAGATTTGGCGGAATATCTGGAGGAAGATCTGGTGGAAGATAAGGCGAAAGATCCCGCGGAAAATCTAGCGGAAGATCTGCCAGAAGATCTGGCGGAAGATCTTGAGGAAGATCTTGAGGAAAATCTGAAGGAAGGTCAGGCGGAAGATCTGGAGGACAGATCTGGCGGAGAATATAGCGGAAGATCTGGCGGAAGATCTGGAATGCAAATCTGGCTGAAGATCTGGCCGAAGATCTGGCGAAAGATCTGACGGAACATCTGGAGGAAGATCTGGCGGAAGATCTGGCGGAAAATCTGGAGGATAAAACTTGCGGAAGATCTGGAGGAATATTTGGCGGAAGACCTGGAGAAAGAGGTGGAGGGAGCAGGGGGGAGGAAGATCTGGGGAAAAGGCAGGTGGAGACCTGGGGGGAAAACTTGGGGAAGATCTGGACGAAGAGCTGGGGGCTCATGCTCTTCCACCGCCTCCTCCTTCTCCTCCTCCTCCTTCTCCACTCCGTCCTCCTCCTCGTCCTGCTACACCTCCTTCTCCTCCTGTGCTTTCGCCAAATATTCCTCCAGAACTTCCGACGGAACTTCCGCCAAATCTTCCGCCAATTTTCTCCTCCAAATCTTCCTCCAAATTTTCCTCCAAGTCTTCCACCAAAACTTCCGCTAAGTCTTCTGCAAGATCCTCCGCCAAATTCATATTCCAAATCTTCCGCCAAATCTTCCGCAAAATGTACCTTCAAATATTCCGCCAAATTTTCCGCCACATCTTTCGCCACATATTCCTAGAAATCTTCCGCCAAATCGTCCGGCAGATTGATCCTCCAAATCTTCCGCGAGATCTCCCGCAAAATCTTCGGCCAAATCTTTCTCCGAATGTTGAATCAAATCTTCCGCCATTGTGTCTTCCGCAAAATTGATCCTCCAAATCTCCCGCGAGATCTTCCCGCAAATCTTCTGCCAAATGTTTTGCCAAATCTTCCGCCAAATCTTCCGGCTTATTTTCCTCCCAATCTTCCGCCATATCTTCCTGCACATCGTCCGCCAAATTTGTCTTCCAAAATTTCCGCGAGATCTTCCGCCAAATCTTCCGTCAAATCTTTCGCCAGATCTTCCGGCAGATCTTCCGCCAGATCTTCCGCCAGATCTTTCCCCAGATCTTCTCCCTCATATTTTCCCGCAGATCTTCCCCCAAACAATTCTCCATGTTTATCGCTTTGCAACCTCCGCCAGGGGGAGGAGAAGGAGGAGGGGGAGAAGGAGGAGAAGAGAGAGGAAGAGGAAGAGGAGGTGGGGGAAGATAGCCGTGACCATTTTTCAAACTAGGTTTTCGACTATCACTCGCGCGATGACGGCAGGGCATGCAACAAAATCAGGAATGTTAAACATAGGATTTTAGAGTAAGCCCGCGAGACTGAAGCCAGGAATGTCCGTCTAGTTTGTTTGAACTCCCTGTACTCAAACATAGTCTTGGGATGAGTTTCAGCATGTTGGAACAAATTTCTGAGTACTGTTTGACATTCTGCTCCAAACCATCCTGTGGTGTTGGGTCCTCGTTCTGAAGAGACAGCGCCCCGCGTTCCTTCCTTCCTTCCCGCTGGCCCCTCCCTCGTCTCTCCTCCCATCCATTGCCTCTGCTCTCAGCATGTCCATCCCATTCTGGCACACCCCTCACACGTTTCGTGGCCCCACAGTGAGCTCCACCGAAGGCCCCAGTGGCAAGGTCCGCATTCGCCACCCATTTCGGCACAACCCTCACACGGTTCGTGGCCCCACAGGGAGCTCCACGGACAGCCCCAATGCCAAGGTCCGCATGCGGGGACCGCCACCCATTTTGGCACACCCATCACACCGTTCGTGGCCCCACAGGACGCTCCACCGAAGGCCACCCATTTAGGCACGCCCCTCACACGGTTTGCGGCCCCACAGGACGCTCCACCGAAGGCCACCCATTTAGGCACGCCCCTCACACGGTTTGCGGCCCCACAGGGAGCTTCACCGAAGGCCCCGGTGGCAAGGTCCGCATGCGGGGACCGCCACCCATTTCGGCACACCCCTCACACGGTTCGTGGCCCCACATGGAGCTCCACCGAAAGCCCCAATGGCAAGGTCCGCATGCGGGGACCGCCACCCGTTTTGGTACACCCCTCACACGGTTCGTGGCCCCATACGGAGCTCCACCGAAGGCCCCAGTGGCAAGGGTCAGCATGCGGGGACCGCCACCCATTTCGGCACACCCCTCACACGGCTCGTGGCCCCACATGGAGCTCCACCGAAGACCCCAGTGGCAGGGTCCGCACGCGGGGACCGCCACCCATTTTGGCACACTCATCACACGGTTGTGGCCCCACAAGGAGCTCCACCGAAAGCCTCAGTGGCAGGGTCCGCATGCGGGGACAACCACTCATGTTGGCATACCCCTCACATGGTTCGTGGCCCCACATGGCGCTCCACCGAAGGTTCCAATGGCAGGGTCCGCATGCGGAGCCTGCGACATGCTGGGACCGCCACCCATTTAGGCACACGCCTCACACGGCTCGTGCCCCCACAGGGAGCTCCACCGACGGCCACCCATTTAGGCACGCCCCTCACACGGTGTATGGCCCCACAGTGAGCTCCACCGAAAGCCCCAGCGGCGGGTCAGCATGTGGGGACCGCCACCCATGTTGGCACACCCTCACACGTTTCGTGGCCCCACAGGGAGTTCCACAAGGTCGGTGGTCGCAAGAGGCCCTCCAGCTCGTGCGCCTCTTGGCCCACTGCAAGGCCCGGTCCGCGCCGGAGCTGCTGCGCGCCTCGGTAAAGGCAGCCTGGATCCAGCGGTGGACAGGCCTCGCCTCGGTGGCGGCACAGCGAGCCTTCGCAGCCTCTCTGCTGCACCTGCCCCTGGACGGCCTCGCCTGCGACGGCGACGAGCCATGGCTGCAGGACGTCCTGGCGGACGCGCGCCACACCGAGGCCCCAATCCCTAGCCGACTGCCGCCGTGTTTCTGATGGGGTGGAACGGGCGCGGCCCCGCCCGGGGGGCCCGCCCGCTGGGGCAGCAGGAGCCTGGCGTGCAGAGCACCTACGCCTACGACAGCTCCGACGACAGCGCCTACGCCGGCAAGATCGCCGACGCCTATACCAGGACAGGCGCCAGCTCCGACGAAGCCGGCACCGACGAGTGCGCCTACGCCAGCATCAACGCCAACGCCGGCGCCTACACCAGCAGCGTCGCCGGCGCCTCCGAGGAGGCGGAGGATGATGATGAGGAGGAGGAGGAGGCGGCGGAGGAGGAGGAAGAGGAAGAGGAGGTGGCGGAGGTTGTGGAAGAGGAGGAGGTCGAGGAGGAGGTGGCGGAGGAGTCGGCGGCGGGGGAGGAGGATGAGGAGGAGGAGGCGCCCGTGCAGGACGCAGACGCGGGCGCCTACACCAGAGCCGGCGCCGGCGACGTCGGCACCCACGCCAGCGCCGACGCCAACGCCTACGCCTACGACGACACCGACGACTGCGCCTACGCCAGCATGAACGCCGGCGCCCACACCAGCGCCGACGCCAGCTCCGACGACGCCGGCACCCATACCAGCGCCGGCGTCAGCAGCGCTCAGGAGGAGGAAGAGGAGGCTGAGGAGGAGGAGGAGGCAGAGAAGGAGGATAAGGCCGAGGACACTGAGGAAACCAGCGCCGACGCCGGCAAAGACGCCGGCGCCTACGCCGACACCGCCGCCTACGCCCGTGCCCTCACTGACGCCAGCTCCGAAGCCAGCACCAACGCTGGAGCAGTCACCGGCTCCTACGCCTACGCCTACGCCGGCACCTACGACAACGCTTTCGCCGGCGCCGACGCCAGCGCCTACGCCAAGGCCAACGCCTACGCCAGCCACACGGCCCAGGCTGAGGAGGGCGAGGAGGACGAGGAGGAAGAGAGGCATATGGCCGAAGAGGAAGAGGAGGCTGAGGAGGTCGAGGAGGAGGATGAGGAGGAGGAGGACGACGACGAGGAGGCTGAGGAGGCTGAGGAGGAGGGGGAGGAGGACGCAGAGGAGGAGGAGGAGGAGGAGAAGGCGAAGGTAACCGCGCCCAGCATCATCAGCTACAGCGTCGGGACCAGCGCATGCGAGAAGAGCAGGCAGTGGCAGCGGGCCTCGGTGCTGCTCGGCGAGATGGCGGAAGCGAGGCTGGAGCCAGACGCCATCAGCTACAAAGCTGGGACCAGCGCATGCGAGAAGAGGGAACAGAGGCAACAGGCACTGGCGCTGTTCAGATCGATGCGGGACGCGAAGCAGGGGCCCGACGTCATTAGCTACAATGCTGAGATCAGAGCGTACACGAAGGGCGAGCAGTGGCAGTGGGCTCAGGGGCCGCTCGGCGAGATGTGGGATGCGGAGCTGAAGCCCGACGCAATCAGCTTCAACGATGGGATCAACGCATGTGGAAACCGCGGGCAGTGGCAGCGGGCCCGGGCGCTGCCCCGCGAGATGCGGGAATCAAAGTTGCCGCCCAATGTCATCAGCCTCATTGCCGGTATCAGCACGTGCGAGAAGGGGAGACAATGGCAACAGGCATTGGCGCTGCCCAGCGAGATGTGGGATGCGACGCTGGAGCCCGACGTAATCAGCTACAGCGCAGGGATCCCGGAAGGCGTGAAGAGCGATCAGGAGCAGCGGACGCAGGCGCTGGTCAGCGAGATGCGGGAATCAAAGCTGCAGCCCAACGTCATCAGCTCCAACGCCGGGATCAGCGCATGTGAGAAGAGCGATCAGCGGCAGCGGGCGCTGGCACTGCTCAGCGAGACGTGGGACGCGAAGCTGGCGCCCGACGTAATCAGCTACAGCGCTGGGGTCAGTGCGGGCCTGAAGGGCGCTCAGCGGCAGCGGGCTCTGCCGCTACTCAGCGAAAGGGAGGCGAAGATAACCGCGCCAGGCGCCATCAGCTGCAACGCCGGAATCGGAGGTGCAACGGCAGCGGAGGAGGCGACGCAGCAGGACGAGGAGGAGGAGGAGGAGCAATTGAAGATAATCGCGCCCGACGTCACCAGCTACGATACGGGGATCAGCGCACTCGAGAAAGCTGGGCAGCGGCATCAGGCTCAGTCGCTGCCGTGCGAGAAGGGGGACGCATATACGGAGCCAGGCGGACAGCGGCAGTGGGCTCTGCCGCGGCGCCGCGAGACGCGGGGTGCGAACATGGACCCCAGCGCCATCAGCTACAGCGCTGGGATCAACGCATGCGGGAACGGCGGGCAGCGGCAGCAGTCCAGAACGCTGCTCAGCGGGGCTCGGGTTTCGAAGCGGGAGCCTACCGTTATCAGCTGCAGTGCTGGGATCAGCGCATGTGCGAATAGGCCGAGAGCTCTGGCGCTCTCCCGGGCGACCCGGGTTCTGGGGTCGGCGCGTGCGAGAACGGCATGCTGCGGCCGCGGGCTCTGGGGCCCTCCCGGGCGACCTGGGGTCGGTGGCCGGGGCCTGGCGTCTTCAGTCCGCGGGCTCTGGGGCCCTCCCGCGGCGGCCGGGGCCTAACTCGGGCCCAAGTGGCCGGGCCGGCGGGCGGGGCGGCGGGGCGGCAGGCGGCAGCGCGGCGGGCAGCGGCAGCAAGCCCTTTCGCTGCCGGGCTCCTCGCCTCGGGACTGGGACTGGGCGGAGGGGGGAAGAAACAAAAAAAAAAAGGCACCAGCGGCAAGGTCCGCATGCGGGGACCGCCACCCATTTCGGCACACCCCTCGCACGGTCCGTGGCCCAACAGGGAGCTCCACCGAAGGCTCCAGTTGAAAGGTCAGCATGCGGGGACCGCCACCCATTTTGGCACACCCCTCATACGGTTCGTGGCCCCACAGGGAGCTCCACAGAAGGCTCCAGCGGAAGGGTCAGCATGCGGGGACCGACCCCCGTTTTGTCACACCCCTCACACGGCTCGTGGCCCCACATGGAGCTCCACCAAAGGCCCGAGTGACAGGGTCCGCATGCGGGGACGGCCACCCATTTCGGCGCACCCCTCACACGGTTCGTGGCCCCACAGGGAGCCCCACCGACGGCCCGTTGGCAGGGTCAGCAAGCGGGGACCGCCACCCTTTTCGGCGCACCCCTCACACGGTTCGTGGCCCCACACGGAGCCCCACCGAAGTCTCCAGAGGCAGGGTCTGCATGCGGGGACAGCCACTCATGTTGGCATACCCATCACACGGTTCGTGGCACCACAGTGAGCTCCACCGAAGGCCCCAGTGGCAAGGTCCGCATGCGGGGACCGCCACCCATTTCGGCACACCCCTCGCACGACTCGTGGCCCCACAGGGAGCTCCACGGACAGCCCCAATTCCAAGGTCCGCATGCAGGGACCGCCACCCATTTCGGCACACCCATCACACGGTTCGTGGCCCCACAGGGAGCTCCACAGAAGGCCCCAGCCGCACAGGCCGCATGCGCCCGACGCCCATTTTGGCACATCCCTCACACGGTTCGTGGCCCCATATGGAGCTCCACCGAAAGCGGTGCCCACAGCGCGGTATTCACAATTGCGCATGGCTGGGTCTTTCGACAGGATAATCGTCGAAGATCGCCCTGATGCCCAAACTAAGCCTTGGTTCTGGGGAAAGTCTGGATTTGGGGGGGCGAGGAATCGCCTGCGAGGGGGGGACCCCAACGGCCGAGGCGGGACGGGAGGGAGGGGCAGGTGGGCTGGAGGGGGTCGGACGCGCTGGGGGAGACCTCCTCCTCCTCGATTCCTCCTCCTCCTCCGCCTCCGCCTCCGCCTCCGCCTCCTCCTCGTCCTCCTCGTCCTCCTCCTCTTCCTCCTCCTCCTCCTCCTCCTCCTCCTTCTACCTTCTACCGGTCAGACGCCTGCCCGCACAAACGCATCATGACAACAGTCCCTGCGGCGGCCCGAGAGCGCCGTGAGACATCTGGCGGCACGCCACGTGCTGTGCTGCGCTGTGCTGCGATATGCCATTGCTGTAACCTCGCTGGCCCTCTGGGCCCCGTGCACAGGATTCTCTCTCCCCTCTTTCAAAACTTCCTCCTCCTCGATACGGCTTGCCCTCAAGATAGCCCAAGACAGCCCAACGAGGAGCCCAGAGCCTTCATACGCCCAGAGTGGCCCCCAAGAACGCCCCCACCCAATACCTCCACCCTAAGAGCTCCATAAGAGTACCGAGAGTTACCCAATAATACCACAAGAATGCTTCGGGACGCTTTCACAACTAAAAATACGCGTGGCCCTCCGCCTACTCCTTCTCCTCCTCCTCCCAAGCAGCCCCCGATCGCCCCGCAACCATGCGGCCAACCCGTTCCTCCCTCCCCCTGCTCCAACTCGTGGGAGATGCTTAGGAAGACAGCCGACTAATTGCCGCCAACGCCTCTCCCCCATGGCACGGTTTCGCGACAAAGGCTCGAGAGCCCCCGACTGCAGACAGGTCGTCGTCGCTGCTGCTACAGACGCCAATGTCGTCAGCGTCGTCGTCGAGCTCCGAGGTCTCAGAATATGGTGCGCCGAGAGCAGAGCCCCAATATGACCCGAAGAGACCTCCAAGAGTCACCCAGAGGTCGCGCCCAAACGCCACGCTTTCCATGGGACGCACACAGACATACTACTACTACTACTACTACTACTACTACTACTACTACTACTACTACTACTACTACTACTACTACTACTACTACTACTACTACTACTACTACGACTACGACTACGACTACGACTACGACTACTACTACGACTACTACGACTACTACTACTACGACTACTACTACTACTACTACTACTACTACTACTACTACTACTACTACTACTACTACTACTACTACTACTATTACTACTATATGTCCTCCGTGGAGGCGCGCGTCCGACCCGAACATATAGTATACCCATCTTGTAGAGTATCGTTTTCCGAGCGGTCTGGCTAGAAAGCGCCCGCCACGACGCATATACTACAAGATTTCACGGAGCGCGCGTCGGTTCTGGGGGGGCGACGCACTCATAGTACTAGTAGTTTGGGATGACGCCGACCCCAGGCTAGGGCATCTCGTCTAGGAAGCGTTTCTGGACGGGCCGATGGGGCACGCGGTGCGTCAATGATGTCG